TTTATTCTTGCCATTTGTCTTATTGATTCATGTACAGTAACTTATAATGTAAGGCAATTTTTGTCCGTGTACATTTGGCGTAGACAGGTGTAAAAGAATTCTCGTTTGGGATTTTAACTACGTTACTGCCTATTTGGATCGAGCTTGGCATTCCGGTTTGACCTCCCCTGAATTATTGTTGTTACCCAGGATCGTCTTGAGCGACAGAGACCCTTCGAGAGGCTCAAAAATGAAACAGGAAAGCCTATGACCGTTGGGATATCGGTTTCGTTTACACTTTTGTGATTTTTAACTTTTTCCCCTCTACGCTGACGAACCGGTGCGCTTGTCTCTGCCAGGATGCCATCCACCAATCGTTCCATTTTTTGAAGGCAATCTTTTCATCGTGGTAATCACTGCGTCCTTTGTTGTTCTCGCATCATTTATACAATGGTGTTTAAATACGTCACAAGAACGAAACGAAAATCCTTCAAGCATACTTCTGATTCAGAGTAAATTTTGAAAGACGAATTTACTAATTTTGCCTTTGTATTCTACTTATAAACATATTTATTACTATATTGTAATTGATATGATCCCCAGTGACGGGTCCAGTTTACTCGATACCCTTGAGCAACAGTTATATGTTACTCTCTGTGGCAGAAATCCGTCCGTCCCTACCGATATAGACTGGAAAAAGTGCTTTCCATTCCAGACTGATGATAGACCGTAGTTTCACCGGATTATTACTTAGCTTATCCCTATAACTGAACCCCATATTGTTGTCGATTTAAGCTTACGCCACGGATTCATGTAGGGCGAGGTAACGTCCTAAAATACGCACATTGCCAACATTGGCTGAACAGCCAGCCAGTTAGTTCATACTGATATGAACGGATTAGCATGCACGATGGATGCATAAATAAACAAAAAGCAATATAAACATAATACTGCTGTGCTAAATAAACCTTTCGACGACTGCCATTAGGAAGAATTTTCCACTCCTTTGAAATTTTCAACAATTTTTTTAAAAATAGACTATATTTCGTCCTTCTAATTTGAAGCAATCTTCTGTACGGCGTTTTCTGAAGGTGAAGAAATTATGGTTTGAAACGTCATAATAAGTAACGTGGTGTATATAACGTGAGTTTCTACCTCTTTGTACGTTGAAACGCGGTTGACTGCTCCAAAACCGGATTTCACGACGCTGCAGTGCCCTCTTGCTCGAAATTGCCTTGGGGGTCATTTAGGCAAACCATAGCTCCATGATGTTTAAGCAGTTTTAGTACTAAACTTTCCTCTTATGATTTATTTTGTTAGAGCAGGATCATGATAATAATGTAATATTGCTTCAGAACATTGGAATGTCGGTATTCCTTCACTGTCATGATTGGGCCATTTTGGCGCATTGCTGATCACCATTATACCTTGAACCAAGAGTACCTTTTTAAGGTACAGTCTACAGCCATGTTTGCTGGCATAGCGTGTAGTCTCCTATTTTCTTCTCACTGGTACTGAGAGGTACTAATTTATTAACCTCGGAAGTTACAAGGGCGAGTGACCCAGACCGGTTCTTAAACTCAGAACCTTCCGACTGAACAGTTTCTGTTTGACGAACAAGTGCTTCAGAAACCGTTATTCCTTTTATGCTGACACGTAAACAGAAAATAACGGTTCTACGTGTGTTGGCAGGTGCACAACTACGCAACTCTTCTGTTTAAAATCCAAAGGTAGGATAAGGAAGACTTAAAAGCACTTGTTTCTTTTGATACAGTTCTTTATAGGGCTGTAGACCATTCAGTGTTATGCTGCACTATTCGCTGTTTGAGTGAATCTTCCACAGGAATCTCCGTGCACTTCTCGAACAGTTCAGAGGTTTCAGATGTGTAATCGTCAGTTCTTTTACTTAAACTTTGACATTCTTCGCGTCAGTTGCTATGTGTGCAAGAAAGAATGATGGCCAGAGAGTCTCGCTTCGCTTTTTACTGTCCATACGATCTTTGTCTTCTTGAGTTCTTTGACGAATAGTTGCTCCCTGTCAGATGCGTGGCTGTGTTTTGACGTGACCAAGGGTGATGTTTGTTTACAGCCCATAGAGTGCTGCAATAGAAATCTTCAGTCCTCCAGGATGGCAGCGTATGCTGCTGGAAAACAGTGATTCGTAGTCTTTTGTGCTGCTCTACTGTCATCACTTTCTGTTGTATTTCGGGCTCTATTTTCTCTTATCCAAAATAGAAAACTTTCTATGCAGCGTTCAAGCACTGTTCTGTTTCAGAGATAAAGGCCATAATCGATTTATCTGTGAAATAAGGACTGCTTATGCATTGCTGCTAATTTTTAAACTCAGTGAATCATAAGTTACAGGATGAGTTACCTTTCTCTCAAGTGAATAAACGTAATGTGCTACGTCTCTTCCTGAAGATTTGAACGTCACGTGTTTTGTGTTATTGTGTGTGAGAATGTCTGCCTGAATTCCGACTATTGTCTCTTAGACGGAATTTCATAAGTGAACGGGTTTTTCGAGGTACGTTTCTTTCCGGATGCAGTTTTGATAGTGGCTACGGACTTAAAGGCGTTCTTGCGGTGTTCTGCTGTTAGTGTTCTTTTTCGTTAACAAAGTACGAGGTTTTATTTCGTTGTTGTTTTCTCATCTTGTTCTGCGGTAAACGGGTTAAACAACGGAGTAACCCATATATGTGATGCCTTGCCGTTAAAAATGGCTTTTAGGCTTGCTTTCATAATTACTAGTAAAGTAAAAATGAAGTTCCTTCGTGGAATGCTTGTGAGATAGGCATGACAAGCTTAAGACAACATAGTATTCTGGATTACTGTAACTCGTGGGCCGGTTTTTCACCAAATCGTCCTTGGATCTCAGTTGCCTCTCATGTTAAAAAAATGGCAGGCGAAAGACATAAGGCCAGATGATTTCACTCTTTGGAATTTGTCCCTTGAATTTTGCCTGACTGATGGAGGACTTGAACTGTTGCATGAACCTCCTGAAGGAAACCTCGCGTCTGCTGCTTCTACCTTCAGTGTTCGTAGGTGAAACTTGATTGAATTTTGCAGTTGCACTTTGCGGCAGCAGCTTCTGGAAGTAGAGATAGCTTTCATTTTGCAGAGTTTGTATTGATTTGAACCTGCGGCTAATTATAATCAAGATGTATTAACGGTCTCTCACGTCCTTGAAGAGTTTTCTTTCTGACTTTTTATTGTTTTATGATTTGGTTAATCGTAATTGTGGTTATTAGTGCGATAATTTTGGCTTTGCCTTTGCACTTACGCATGATCTTTTCATGTAAAGCGAATTTCTAGCGAATCAGTCAATTTCGATGATCGCCTGCCCTTTTCGATCGTTGAGGTTGACACGTCACACAATGTCTCCAACATTACCTATCTCATGCCCGCGTTTGAACTTAAGCAGCAGATAACCCGAATCTGAAGCACGGTCCTTCTATAAACTGACTTCTTAGGCTTCCTCCGGGTCTTTGACTAGTCGATCGTGCAGGTAGTCGGTGTTTCTCCTTCCTTTTTAAAAGCAAGCTTAACAAATGCTCAAGCTATCGCCGCTCTGACTTCTGAAACTGGAATGGCAGCTTCTGCACATCAAGTATCTGTCGGATATCTGAATTCCAGACCATGTCCATACGCGCGAGCCCAGAGATTGATCTCAGAAAAAAAGCGTGATTAACCAGAGTTTGTGTACTTTGAGTTTTTGCTATCCTTTGAACCAAGTTTTATTTCATCGTTATCTGTTTATCATTTCGGTTGATTTCTTGTTCAGCATCTCTGTGCAGTGCCATATTACTATGACTAAACTTAAAGAAATGATTACGACTTGCTTTAGGGCAACGATTGCTCGTTTTTATCGTTGGATTCTTGTTCGTTTCTGTGACCGTTGTTGCAGCTAGCCTCTGGTTGTCTGTGGCACACGTGTTGTTTCAGAAGCATGTCCAAGAGACACCGCATCGACGTCGGCGAGTCTGCAGTGAGCAAACATCGTATGGAGGAGTACACTTCGTCGAAGAAAAACAAAGCCGTTGACGGCAGAGGCAAGACGTGCGGCAGGGAGCACGATGACGAGTCTTCGTCGTCGTTAAACGATCACTCTTCTTCATCGCTAACCACTGGAATATCGGCGGCTGCTACGACAAACGTTGTGGTCAATCGGACGACCATGGCCAAATTCAACCCACTAAACAATCAGACTTACAGTGCCCGTTACTACGACCTATACAAGAAGCGATCAGCTTTGCCGGTATTCGAGTACCGCGAGAAATTCATGGAATTGTTGCAGCAGAACCAGGAGCTGGTGTTGATGGGCGAAACGGGATCCGGCAAAACCACACAGATTCCTCAGTGGTGCCTGGAATATGTGAGACTCAAATATGGAACAGCTGTTGCGGGGGGCGGCGAGGCACGCAAATGCGTCGCCTGCACCCAGCCACGTCGAGTGGCCGCTATGTCCGTCGCGACTCGCGTCGCTGAGGAGTTGGACGTGCAACTGGGCTCTGAAGTGGGCTACAGCATCCGTTTCGAAGACTGCAGCTCCCCGCGCACGATTCTTAAGTAAGCGGCGACGGACTTGCCTTGTACATCTGTTTTATAGGTTAGTCGCTTAGCCACCTGCGGTCAAATCAGACTACAAATCCGTAGCCATCGACTGTCGTCTTTCATCCACCACCTCCAAACACGAACGACTTGTCCTCATTGCTTAGCAACTTCTGTTTATTCTGCCTGCCTTCTGTTTCATACACGCATACACACACCACCAGTCGCTGTCACATCGTTGGTGTGACTAATGTGGTTCTCTTTCTTTGCTAGGTATCTGACCGACGGTATGCTTCTCAGAGAAGCGATGTCCGACCCGCTGCTAGAAGCTTACGGCGTCATCATGCTGGACGAAGCCCACGAGCGCACGCTGGCTACCGATATCTTGATGGGTCTTTTAAAGGAGATCAAGAAGCAGCGTAAAGACCTGAAGATCGTGATCATGAGCGCTACGCTGGACGCCAAGAAATTTCAGGTCGGTCTTTGCTTTCTATAGCTAAATTCTAATTTAGGTATTTGATCTGTAAATAACGATGCCCTTTGCCAGTCCATGATTAACTTTTTAATAAACACGTCTTTAAGCAAAAGATAGTAAGAATACCTTCGTATCTTTTCGGCATTTCTTTATAAGAGAGCAGCAACAAATACTCTTACCTGAGAATTTTAAATATTCAGATTTATTTCCATTTAAATAATGCAATTATGTTTCAGGATTTTTCTAAATTTCCCTGCACCTATTCTCGTGCTTAGCGTGAGATTTCGAAAGTAATTCACTTACGCATCGAAGCCTATATGTACTTGTTAACCATATATTAACTATATTCGTACTCACTGAAATTAGATTTGTGTATAGTGATTTATTTCAGAAAAACATAAAGTGTATCTTTGTGCGCGCGCTTGCCTTGCTATGTTGATTTGTCAAGTTTCATCGAGGAACTAAAGTCCTCTCTGAGTTCTGCCCTGCCATGAATTATTAATTTTAATTATTTTGTTCTTGGGGAAGCGTTCAGCTAATTATTGTAGCAACATCATTGGTACTGAGTGATACGGAGACGGAAACCGTTGTTGTACGATAACATTCTGCCAATCAAACTCATTTGCTTAAGCAACAGTTGGCGAGTGCCAATGGTGCTTATGGGTCCCACCATGTCAGAGTGAAATTCCTTTTTTTAATCAATATAGTTAGCGTGATTAGCATGTTTATGATGAATTTCGTTTTAGTTGTATTTTGATAATTGTCCGCTTATGTCGATTCCGGGCCGCACATTTCCGGTTGAAATATTTTACACACCTGAACCTGAGCGAGATTACCTGGAAGCAGCGATCCGGACGGTTGTGCAAATACATTTATGCGAAGAAATTGAGGGCGATATTTTACTATTCCTGACAGGACAGGAGGTAAGTCTGGACTTTAGGGATCGCGGTGCGTGCGATCGGGCAATTTTGGTTATCGTTCTACCGAATTGTTTAGGAGATAGAAGAGGCGTGCAAGAGAATCAAGAAGGAGATCGACAATCTTGGCCCTGATGTCGGCGACTTGCGATGTATCCCGTTGTATTCCACTTTGCCTCCGAACCTCCAACAACGGATATTTGAACCAGCACCCCCGAGGAAAAGCAACGGCGCCATCGGCAGGAAATGTGTCATCTCTACAAATATCGCTGAAACATCCCTCACCATCGACGGCATAGTTTTTGTCATTGATCCCGGATTTTCTAAACAAAAAGTGAACTAGCCGATGCATGAAGATCTGAAGCCGCTAAATCGGTATTTTTTACTCTTTAGGTCTACAACCCTCGTATACGCGTCGAATCGCTTCTGGTTTGTCCGATTAGCCAGGCATCGTCGCTGCAGCGCGCCGGTCGTGCCGGTCGTACGCGTGCCGGCAAGTGCTTCAGATTGTACACAGAGAAAGCTTTCAAACAAGACATGCAGGAACAAACTTATCCGGAAATACTTCGCTCCAACCTTGGCAGCGTCGTCCTGGAACTGAAGAAGCTGGGAATAGATGACCTGGTTCATTTCGATTTCATGGATCCTCCGGGTCAGTATTACTCCCTTCTCTGTCTTATATATTCTCGAATAGGTTGAGCCTCCTTGATAGGCATGTAAGTTTTTTAACAGGACAACGAACTAACTTGCAGACAAAACAGCAGTTCAGTTTTTATACGCTTACGCAAGCATTTCTTCACGCGTTACTCAGTATACGGGATTGCATTTTTCAGTATACGGGGAGTCTTCCAACTCGTACTTATCGTGTGCTCGTACTGGTTTATGGGTAGCGTTGACTTATTGTGTAATTATTCTATTGTGTGTAATTTCTCTTGTTTTGTTGCTAAAAATCTGTCTAATAGTTTTTTTTAATTTTAGCGCCAGAAACATTGATGCGTGCATTGGAGTTGTTGAACTACCTTGGCGCTCTGGACGACGACGGCGAACTGAGTACTCTGGGCTCGATCATGGCTGAATTTCCTCTTGACCCGCAGCTGTCTAAAATGCTGATCGCCTCATGCGATCTGAACTGCTCTAACGAAGTGCTGTCAATTACGGCCATGCTTTCAGGTAATGAGATGTGAAGGTTGGTGAATTATGCTGTCTGTCTAAATCGACGGGATTCTTTTCTCTTTTCGCTCCCACCGGCAGCTATTTCAAACTCGTCGGTTATTTATGTTCCTGTTTTTCAAGTTGCTGTCATGTAGCGAAGAAAATGTCGTGGTTAATCGAAATGGGTGATTTCACCTATCCACTGAGAAGTGAACGGGCATAGGGTTTGTCTCTCGTGTCGCCTGTTCAAAGGACATGAACCTACATATGAACTGCACCCTAGAAGTAGAAGCACGAAAATACAGCTTTTGTCTGTGGTAGATCAGTTCTTTATATGTGTCCCTGTTCCTTCGCGGAAGAAGATGTATCGTCCGAAGGAAGGTTTCCTGCTATCCTGGGAAGTTGCCTTTATATAGAATTTTTCTATTTGT